CGCCAGGCACTTGCCGTAAACAAACACACGGCAAAGCTAATATAAAAGAAAAAGAGAGAAAAGATATGTATGTACTGAAGATAAGTTGAATAGAGCACAACACATAGGGAAAAAGAGTTCTGTCATTTCATTAATATTGAACATTAAGTTTACAAAAGAGAGATGTCCATCATTACAAGAAGATATGAAATAGAAGAATTCAAAGGAGCCCTAGCTAGACGCCTCAGTACCAACAGCATCCTGGTCGTGCCGACTCGCCTCCTCGGCCCCATCAGCCGCCTCACCTTCATGAGGTGGGGAATCAAGGTGAATGACTGAATCGTTCGGCTGGGGCTCAGCGTCAGCAGTGGCTATAAAAGGAACCACGGTTGACGATTGGGGAGCGGTCAGTGGCAGAGCGGTAGGAGGAGCTGTGATGATCCTTGAGGATGCGATGTCCTGGCACTCATCAAATATACGCTCCGCTTCGGTAGGTTCTGGGTCGACATAGACCCCCAGAGGTTCGATCCCCAGATCCTTGTCTACCTCATCCGGAGTGGAGCTGGTCTGTCCCTCATCCGGAACCCGGTCGGCGAAACCTTCCCGGAATCCTTGAGCATACCTAAGAGCACCGACCCTTGAGAACCGGGCGTGAAGGGCCAGCATCCCACCACCCACTCTGCTGATCGCGTCGATCAGAGCGGTACGCTCGTCCAGAGCTCTTCTTTCAAAGGCCATCCGAGCAGATTGTTCATCAGCTAGAAGGCGCTGGAGTTCTGCCTTCTCTTCTCTAATTGATTCCCGCTCGGTCTGCCAGACGCTCTTCTCAAGCTGGAGGGCGTCGTTCTCATCCTGAAGGGAATCATTCTCCTTCTTCAGGACATCTCTCTCTTGCTCGGTTTTGTCAAGCCGAACCAGCACCTCGGTATTCTTCATGGCAAGGAGGTCGTTTTCTTTATTAGCCACCTCCAGGCTGTCAGAATACTTACGGGCCCTGGCGTTCCCCATCTCCACCTGCTTCTGCATGGCCATCATCCCGAACAATGTCTGCATAGGTGCACATTAAAAACGGTTAAACCAATAGTCAGAACGGGCGAAGGCAAGACCAAGTAATATGAGAGAATTCATGAGTTAGAAAATAAAAGTCACCTCTATAGCAGATTGGGGAAAGCGACTGAACACGTCCTTCTGGGAAAGGCCCTTTGCCGCCTCAAGGTCCTTCGGAGTCCATATGCTCCTGTAGTAGGCCATAGCGGTCTGACCATCCTTCAGCATGGTCTCGTTCGGTTTCACGAACGTCCCATCCGTTCGGGTGTACCGAGGGGCCCATGGCGGTAAGCTGGGGATAGAAGGGGGGCCTGAAGCAGAAGCAGAGCCACCAGCTGCAGGAGGCCCAGAGGGAGAAGGAGCTCTGATCGCTCGGTGCAAGAGAGTACCCGGCCCAGAGACCCGGGTCCTTCTAATGAGAGGCTCCTCCTCAGGATCGATTTCACTGTCAGGATGAGGCCTTTTGCCTCGTTCTTTGTCCCGACCGCCCCCCGCAGCAGCAGGAGCTATGGTAGCTGGGGAGGGCGCGTTCTGGTTGGCAGCAGGGGCGCTGGCAACAGGGTTAGTAGCCACTGCGCTCGGGACAGTGTCAGATATGGTGGCTGAAGAAGAAGCTGACGCTGGAGAGGAGGTCGCCCCAGCAGCAGGAGTGGCTGGGGGAGTATTTTTCCTCCTGCCAAAAGAGGGAATCTGAAGTCTGCTCATGTTGTAGCCGAGTGATGAGAGCGCTAAGAGGTTGTCTGAAGTGAGGAGATCTGAGCAGGAAGGAATATCGTTCAGAACGTATCTCTTCAAGTAGTTACTCCTATCCCTGCAAACACTATAGCTCAAGTCATCACAAGGTATTCCCAAGGAGCGGCATAAGTAAGTGCAAAAACGAGGAACGCATGTTTCACAGGGGCAGTCATGTTTATGGGATTTGAATTTTTTATAGGAGGAGACAGAGCAGACACCAAAGGCGCTCGGGATTGGGTAACCCTCTGCAGCCGGCGAAGACCAAGCCCCACTAATGCCCACTATGCTATCCCTCCAACCCTTTTCAGATTTTATTGTGTCAGTACATATGGACATCTTCTCGAACGGGTAGAGGTGGTAGAAGGGCTCGTTAGTACGGATCTTACTCACCTTATGGCACAGAAGGAGGTCTATGAGGTCGAGGTCCAGATTTCTGTCACGCATCAACAAGAGCATAACAGATATGATTCTAAAGAAGTTGGGGTTGACCTGCAGAGGGGATATCCCCAATCTATTGAAGACATAACTAAAGAAAGGGTGCAGAGGGAACCTAACAACATTCAATTGAAGGTTCGTGAATAAGACTTCGCCAGGCAGGAGGCCGGCGCCGGTCGTAATATTAACGTCTTGGGGGCAAACCCTAACTTCGATGTTGTCAGGAAGTCTAAGTCTCATACGAAGAACATCCAGATCTACAACCATGGTGGAAGTGATAGAAGAATCTACAAGAGGGTAAATGGAAGCCTGCCGAAAGTAAAAAGAACGAAACTAACCTCGGAGGACTGCAAGATCGCTGGAAGAATGACTCTTGAAGGATTTCACCAAGGAAAGCTTAGCACTGTTCTAGAAAAGAGAGAGACTTGGCTGATGATGGAGACGGTAAAGGGAAGTGAAGTGGAATTCTAGAGCATTATAAAGGCGAGGGGGCCCGAGGGCCGAAGCGTCGGGAAGGCGAGAAATCCCTCGAGCCCCGGAACATTGATGCTGGATCTGACCGTCCACTCCCCCACGTGGTTATCTCGAGCCGTCAACATCATGATGAGACGCCATCAATAATTACCCCTTATTAAATAAGGGGCAATTATGGGGGCAGTTGAGGAGGCCCCGGATGACATGGGCCAGATCCGACTCGCAAACATAGCATTCAGTCCGTACAGCTGGGCCAGCCCATAGAAGGACACTGCCATATGGGCCGAACGAGAGTAAGCCCATCAAAGGTGACCAAGGCTTATGAAGGAATAGGCCCAGATCCAGCAATTAGTAAATATCTTGTAAATATCTTGTAAATATCTTGTAAATATCTATAAATAGGAGATGGAATGAAATGGAGGGGGATCTTTTTGGGTTGAGGTGTAAGAATTCTAGAGAGAGAAAGAGGAGAAGGAATTTCTTGCATCTTCAGTTGGGCATCAGGAATCCTTCCGACAATAGCTTTCAACTCCTGTCTTCTCAAGTTGTACGAGTACCAGTCCCTTCCCTTTACAACATTCCATTGATCATCTGAATAACGATGGTGAATGATCACCGATCCGTGAATGCCCACCATTTGAATTGGGCAAAATGAATTACTCACTGAGAAACTTGACAGAGTAATAGGCTTACCAACAATAGAAAGAAGACATATTTTATGTTTCATAACCCAAATATGATTACCCAAATCCTCCTCCAACATCCATAACTCTAATTCCATATGAGTGACCGGGTTTGAGAAGTACATCGATCCCTCAATCTCTATACAAGTTGCAATTTATCAGTCTGACACATAGATAATCATAATCTATTTTTGGTTGACATGGCAAGCTTATTCCTTGCCGAAATTCCTCTTTAGCAATGTCCATTGATTGTACAAAAGCCACTTCAAGATCAGGATTAAAACGAGAATTTAGTATGCTTACAATAAGCATAACACCCTTCATGTGCTAAATAATTATTTTTGTCATTTCAAAAAAGAATATGTAAAATGTGTATATAAGAGTAATTTAGTCATACTATAGTTTTAATGTGTCATAAGGGACCTATTTGCACAAATTAAAATTTTAGAGGTGTTTTCTACACATGAATAATGTGATACGCACTATAAACATAATATAGGAGTGACTTTCCGAGAATATATATATATATATATATTATAGGAGTGTTTTCTACGCTCTTTTTTGGACGCTTGCCGATTTATGGAAGGCGAGCAAGGCCTTGATATTAGGAAAATGTAATACTTTCATAAATAATTTTCATGGTATGAAACTCCAATGAGAATACTATGAGATGCCTTTGACAATCAAATGTACACATCCTTACGTAGCTTGGAGATGTTTTTTACCCTAATAACACAAAAAGGAATGCTAAGGATAGTCACTTAAGCGACTGTCCTTTCAGAGTCGCTCTCCTCATTGGCTATTTTAAGTCTTATTAATTACTCAAAATTCACATTTTAAAGACAAAATTACTCTTTAAATCTTTTTTCATTATATTTCTTATATCTTCTCCCTCAATTCATATACGTGTAGTATATACATATTTTTTACTGCCTTTATTTCTTTTCTTTTTATTTTCAATTGTCGTCATTAGTTATTTTTTTCCTTCCTTTTTTTTCTATATTTCCCTTTTTCTATTTTTTTTTTTAAATTGTTGCCATTAGCCTTTTTTCCGGTCCTTCCTTTCATTTTTTTTTTGGAAAAAAAAAAAATGAAAGGAGAGGATCAACAAATTGAAAAACTTTAGTCGGCTATAGCAACAAAATCAGTCAAAGCCCAAGCCCGTGAGCATAATGGTCGGAAAAAAATAACTAGGGCGACAATTGAAATAAAAAAGAAATAAATAAAGGCAGTAAAAAATTTATATATACTACACGTATATGGATTGAGGGAGGAGATATAAGAAAGGTAATAAAAAAAGGATTTAAATGATAGTTTGTCTTTAAAATGTGAGTTTTTTTTAAAAAAAATATGTTATATTTTTCAACGTTTTTGATAATAGAGAAAGAGTAACTAATGAGACTTAAAATAGTCAACAAGAAAAACGACTATGAAAAGACAGTCGGTTAAAAAATCAATTTCTTATGAAGTGCAAGAATTAAAAGGAAAATTTATAGCAATAACTATACTAACTACCATTTGAAATTCCTGGTCATAATTTGGTGAAATTATATAAGAAGTAATGGGAATTTCAGACATTCGAGAGACACGTCACCAATTTTCTTCCTATATTTGTTCAAGAATATTTAATCCACTTGATTTAAGTTTTATTGGAAATCGACCAACGGTAGCAACTTTAGCCAAAAGATCAAGGACATACTTCTCTCTCTACAATGGCTTCTCAACTACTGAGACGACTTCTTCCAAACCCTTCTCTGCTCTACGACTCTCTCAAACTCAAAGCCATCTCTTCACCACTCCGGACTTTATGTTCATCTGCTTCATCCTCTGATCAGCCCATTCGCGTCACTCTTTTCCCAGGCGATGGTATCGGTCTCGAAATCTCTGAATCCGTTAAGCAGGTACCTGTTTCTCTTTTCACATACCCACACACACTTGTGTATATATATATATCGATGTATTTTCACATATGGATTTGAATTATATCACCTTATTATCACTCTGTTTGTCAATTTTTCCCCTCAAATTTGATAGAAAAGTGATGGGTTTGAATCAATATCTATTACTTCCTTTTAGTACTGTATCTTCAATTGAATTGTATTTGCATATATGGGTTTAAATTTGCATCACCTTATTATCACTCTGTTGGTCTTTTTTCCCCCTCAAATTTCATAGGAGGTGATGGGTTTGATAACATCTATTACATTCTTTTAGTACTGTCTTTTCAATCGAAGTGTATCTTGATCAATTATGATCTTGTTTATGTTATTACTTGTTCAATTTTCTGTTGCAATTAACCAATGGTTTGAACAAGTGAAACTACAACTGTGGAATTTTAGGTTATATCTGCAGCTGAAATTCCTATAGAATGGGAAGAACATTTTGTTGGGGATAAGGTGGACCCTAGGACTGAGAGTTTTTTGACATATGAAAGTCTGGAATCAGTCCGTCAAAATGGTGTTGGACTGAAAGGGCCAATGGCTACACCAATTGGTAAAGGGTTCAGGTCCTTGAACCTTACTCTAAGAAAAGAACTTGGCCTTTACGCGAATGTCAGACCTTGCTACAGCATTCCCGGATACAAAACTCGATATGATGATGTCAATCTTGTAACGATTCGCGAAAACACTGAAGGAGAGTACAGTGGCCTGGAGCACCAAGTATGTTTGCTTGATGCTGTCCACTTTAGTATACAAATTCATCTGTTAATTCTTTGAATTGAAGAAGTTATGTGTTTGTTACTCGATCTAGGTGGTGAGAGGTGTTGTTGAAAGTCTCAAAATCATTACTCGTCAAGCAAGTCTTAGGGTAGCAGAATATGCTTTTCACTATGCTAAGACCCATGGAAGGCAGAAGGTGTCTGCTATACATAAAGCTAACATTATGAAAGTGTCGGATGGTCTTTTTCTCAAGGTATGTGGCATGAAGCTCAATCTCCAGCATTGTCCATAATTTGCAGTTCCGGCGTCTACTTATTTATTTTATTTTCATCTGTAGTGTTGTCGTGAAGTTGCAGAGAAGTACCCTGAAATAAATTATGAGGAAGTCATCATTGACAATTGCTGTATGATGGTACTTATTCTGTTGTTATCCCATTTGATGAATTTAGTACTATTCTGGGGATCATGCATGCTAACTTGGTAAAATTCATTTTCCTATTTTTGGAGCACAAAGGGAAGAAATTACAACCACCGATGCTTCATAACGATGCATATGGCATCTAAAACAGCATCACTAACCATATTTTATTTCGTTTTAGCCCTCATGCCTGAAGGATGATGGTTGGAACAATGTTTACTAGTTGGCAGAAGTAACCAAACTAAGAACAATTGATTATGAGTGTTGAAGTTCCATAATGTACATAGTTGTTTCTTCGCCCTCAATTCATTGTTTTGGATGGTAATGGTAGTCATTTTTCAAAGTGGATGTTCCTGCATTTTTATTGGTGTTATTCGCTTGATTTACCTCTTCTTGCTGTTTATTGTTGTTTCTCATTCTGGTTCAACTCTTACAGCTTGTGAAAAATCCTGCACTCTTTGACGTACTGGTTATGCCAAATTTATACGGAGACATAATCAGTGACCTCTGTGCTGGTCTGGTTGGGGGCTTGGGTTTAACTCCCAGGTATCCATTTTAAATATTGCCTGCTTACATATTGTGATTCTCTATGGGGTTCATCATAAATTTAATCCTTTACAGCTGTAATATTGGTGAGAATGGCATCATTGTGGCTGAGGCTGTTCATGGTTCAGCTCCAGATATTGCAGGGAAGGTAAGTCAGATGGGAATTACTTACACTTCATCCTCTTTCTTCGCTTTCATGACCTGTCAATATAGAATTGTTTCTTGTTGGAAAATTGAATACAAAAGAGCTGATAAATTATCTGATTCGTGATGATCAAGTTTTCAGATTTTTTGTTTCGACATCTTGTGTTCCATTGACTAAAAGTGCATTTTTCCCCCTAAAAAAGAATCTATTTATTCATATATTTTTATGAAAAAATCCGAGTCAGTGGAGCAGAATGATGTGAAAGCAAAGGTTTAATTAATTTTTTTAATAACTAATTAATGGATACGTGTGTAAAAGAAAATATTGAATAGCTATAATTTATGAGGAAGAGTTCATGAGTTTGCTGCTATTACACCCATCAAACCATGTAAATTGCTGACCTTACAGCAATGTGGAAAGGAAAAAACTACCGTGAGTGCCTGAATTTAGTGAGAGCAACCTTTTTAGTCCTTCGTGTGTGACGAAACTCATGGAAGCAAAACTATGATTCAAGTTTTTATTGTCGTCTACCACCTTGGGCACTACATGCCAGCCAGTGCTGATGCACCTATTTGGTAATCTGCAGCAATTACTTGCCCGGCTATAGGTTACACTACTAATACAAACCCTTTCCACATGTTTCTGCAGAAATTATGTTGCAAACACAAACTTCCACATTCCATAGCTTTGTCATCTCAGAATTTATGGTTGTGATCAATTACTTTTGTGTTGCATAGCTTGTCATATTCTCTGGATGTTTCTTGGATATCCAAATAGATATGGTCCTTTAACACTGCACTTCTAATTTCAGAATCTTGCCAATCCAACGGCCCTACTGCTGAGTGCGGTTGCAATGTTAAGGCATTTAGGACTTCATGAAAAGGCGGATCAGATCCATGATGCCATCATTAACACAATAGCAGAAGGAAAGTACAGAACACGCGACCTTGGAGGCACTTCTTCAACAACAGAGTTCACTAGAGCAGTCTGTGACAACCTTTGAGGCAAATTAACAAGGACTTGGTTGTGATTGGTAACGAACTATGGGTTGAATACCACATACACAATGCCGGTGCCACTTACAAAACGTGTTGGGAGCGAGGACTGAATGTGTGTATAAACAAATTCTTTTCTTCACGGATGACTATGAGTGACTTTTTCTTTTTCCGGGTAGAGAAGAATCGATTGTCCAATATCTTTTATAAGCCTTTAAGGTTGTGATTCAATATTGTAAAAAATCACATTTAATGCATTTTTCATAAATGTGTAACACAGTTATTATACTAGGCTTTAATTGGTCGTGCATTCCAGTACTTGAAAATTTAGAGTCCGCCTGATTTGTCACTTAGAAAACAGTTGTTAAAAATTCAAAAAAACAGAAATCTATGTTCGGAAAAACTGTGTTTTTTTTTTTTTCGAAATTGAGTTTTCATAAAACAGTTCTCTGAAACTGTCAATTAATCAGTTTTTTTGTATAATTTTCTGATTTTTAATTTTGCAAAAAATAGATAATTTTTTTCAACCAAGCAGGCCCTTGATTTTTTCTTCCTCCTCGTCCTCCTCCTCTATTTATTTATCTACTCTTTTTTTTTTGAAATCCTATTTCTAGCATTAGATACCTAGCAATTAAAAGCTTAAACCCATAAAACTCGAAATTTGAGACACATAACCCAGACATTATAAGAGAAATGTTCAGTCCACTAATAAATGACGTAGTAATTGTACAAAAACTGGGCAAGCTTGATGTTCATTAGCCTAGCGGTTTAAAATTCGACTAAACCAGGACGAGCAGTACCAAAAAGTGAGAAAGGTATAAAATCTGAGCGCATCAACATAATACGTAATCCAATTCTGTGGTTGGTTTGTCTATCCTTCATTCCTCGAGGCCAAAATAATCAAATCTTAAGAAACCAAAATTAAAAGAATAGACGAAAATGCACGAGTTGACACATTATTAAGAACTTTCATTCATTAAATGAACTTTATAATCGTGTTTTGAGTAGAATTTTTCATAAGTTACAATTTAACATCGGAGCTAATAAAGAACGATGACCCACCGGCAAAGAATTCTAGGATGAATTTGGTAGATATTTGGAAGGACGTTAGGATGAGCACAATCCACCCAGGCCACAGAACATCTTTCTTTGTTGGGGAAGCTTAAACTAAACTACCAGTCAACATCTGGCAACGGCATTTTCCAGTAATTCCATGAATTGTAATCTTCCTGCACAGATATTGAATATCACGAATGTCAAGAATCGGTTAGAAGATAGCACAAGAATTAATAGTAATAGAGAATACTGATCCATTGTCAGTCTTTTAATTTCTTATTTTCTCTTTTCATTTATCCCCCTTTGTTTTACTTTCTATATGGAAATGAGGAGGAAGTGCAACACTAATTTACCTGCTCAACCAGTGAAGTTGGTGGGAACATGTCATTGACAAGAGTGTGTAAAGAGGTGTATGACTTCAAATCAATTCGATGGCTAATGGCAACCTCACCCTATAAGTGTTCAAACGAACTTGTTAGAATTTTCTTTAAAAAAAAAAAACAATTTTTTTTTCGAAGAAAGCTCTTGTATTTGCCGGTGCTTGCATGGAACATACTTGGTGAAAGATACTACCTTAGGGTTAATGATGAAGATTTTGCCCTTTGGGATCCCAATCTTCCTGTAACTTAGCTCATCAGTGTCTCTGTTCCCAAAGCCCGCATAGAATGGATTGTAATCGGAAGGAAAGAGTGCTCTAATATCCTGCATAATATAATTTTTATATAAAATGCGGAAATCACTAAAACGGAAATTCTAAATGCATACAGAGATTCTTTGATTATCTGTTGACATAAATGGTTTGGCCTCTAGTAACAACCTCCAAACACGCGATCTTGAATTCATGCGGTGCTCTTCTTATCACTGTAATCAGTAAGGGGAAAAAACAAAATATTCAATAAGAGATATAAACATGAGAGTCACTGGATAAAGTAAATGAATATTTCAATTCGGGAAAGGTAGAGGTGGATATCAAACAGTCAAGACAAGGAAATATCATAAATTTTACATAAATAATTGATGATTTTCAAATTTTGAAAATAAATGATGCAACAATAAAGGAATTTAGATGAGGGCAAGAATTGGTGTAAAGAGCATATATGTTGTCCAACAAACAAATTTCTTTTATTTAAGTAATGCCCATTGCCAGTTAAAAGTTAGTTTAGACTGAGGTCATATTTCAAAAAATTAATATGTTGGCCATTTGTGTTAAACTATACCACTTTTGAAATGGTTTAATTACTATTTTGACCTCAAAGGAAAAATGAATGAGGTAAGATAATTTAGACAAATATATGTTTAAATCAATATATGCAGAGTTAGTATAAGTATACTGTGTATGCATAAAAATCAAACTCATTTCTGAATCATAAATTTTTTAAGTACGAGTTTATGTAAATATCCATATGCACACTTGTTGTCAAAGAGAACCAATAACAGTAAATTCAAAGATACATGGTGGTTAGCTTTTCAATCTGATGTGAGGTTTGGGCATTTTAAGACACATGTTTCAACATCACTATTTTTCTTTAATTGGTATTAATTGCATAACAAAACCAAAAACTTCACATGATCATCATCAGCTTGTGCATCATTTAATACAAGTTAAAGCAGTTCAATGCAGATTAGAGCCATCATATAACTATCCAAGGATTTGGACCTCACCTTCTCTGAACAATGAGGGAAATAGACCATCAGGTGATATAACAATTGGTCCACTAGGTAAAGCTTTTCCATCCTGCAAGCATTTAAAGAGCTTTGTTCAGCTTAGGCAGTTTTCTTATCACATACTGACAGTATCACGATTTGAAAGATAGCAAAATATACGAGCATATGACACCAGGGGTGGAGCCAGGATTGAATTTTAGGTGGGGCGTAGTGTATTTGACGAAAAATGAAAAAATCCAAATAACATCAGAATATATTTTTTTTTACATCAAAAAATTCCAACTAACATCAGAATTTTTATTTTTATTTATTTATTTATTTATTTTTTTCCAAATCAAAAGGCAAACAAAAAAATCATTCAATGTCAATATTGATTTGTTGAACTGAAAAGGACAGTTAAAATACTTGTCAAATATAAGAACCAAATATAGATTTTGATAATATTTCCATTGAATACCAAAATAAACATTTGCAAATTATAGTATAAAGTAGTTAGTACAGCCGTGCAGATCAAATGGCTAAATATTTTGATAGGTAAAATGACTGAATCACCCTCAATATATCATTAAATGTTTTTTTTTTTGGGGGGGGGGCATATTTGAAATTTCTAAAAAAAAAAAAAAAAAAAAACACATAATAGTACTAATTTTTGTTTTTTCAGGGGGGGCACACGGTCCCTCCGCCCTCGTATGACACCATCAAGAACCATAGAACAGGACTGAAATGGCCCATGAGCAGGAGGAAATCGGGGATGAAACAAAGACAGCTCATAGACACTGTTCCAAATGTAGCACGAGGACCTAAAACCAAAAGGCCACACTATACTTAATGACACTGCATCAGAAACTATATTCCAACCCTTACTCATTTAGTAAGCTAGAAAATCCTGAGTGGTTCTTTTGATCATTCACTACTCACAATTTTCAAAATATGGAGAAACATAAAAGAGTAGTCCCATTGTGGTGTGTGGCCAAGAATGGCAAAGACAATAGGGCATGTTTTTACCTGTTTGAGATTGAGTAGAAAAGTTCTAGTTAAATATGCTTGTACAATTGCACGTGCACTCAGAAATAATAGTTGATATCCATTCTCCTGTAGTAAAGAAGAATTCAGTATGCAATAAAAGCTATCAAAAAAAAAAAAAAATTCCAACATTCAACAAATACAACAAATGAGACTCAAAATAGTTAGTGTACAAAATATATTAGATAACCAAACTGCTTCATAAAATTTAATATAGACCACATCCTGAAGAAAATAGACACATCTATAAATGGTAAAACTAAATCTTTATACCGCCCGGAAAGAAAAATGATCATCTGCGTGTAACATATCACGCCCAAATACAATGACACTTGTCCAATAATGGAGTCACAGTATGCATGAAACAAATAGTAAGAGTAAATCCAATTTTAGAAAAAGAACTCCTCATAGGATAATTGAAGTCTATGATTTTGAACATGATTGTGTCACAAAAAAGGAGATCTATAGTTTAAGCAAAATAAATCTTAAATCTTGATACCACAAAGCATTAACTTGAGCGGTTCTCCTCCACCTTCCAAAAAGGTGGCCAAGACTTTAACTGCCAATTGGGATAGAGTTGGTGTGTGAGTGTGTCTTACCTATCCAAAATAAATAAATAAATAAACCTTAAGGACAATGCAGCTGTTAGCTTGAATTGGATATCCTGCCACTCCCAAAAGAGGGATGTGCAGGGTTCAAATCCCAGTCATGACATGGGTGCACATGATGAGTTCGAGAAAAATAAATAAATAGATCTCTACTAGATGCTTAGTTTTCCTGAAATAGTACTGTATGTAGGAAGTTAACCAAAAGTGAACTACTTAATGGGTTACTGCACTGCATGGCATCTGAGCAAACCACAAACGAAACAAATTGAAATGCTTTACCATGAGAAAGGGATTTTTGTAGAAACCTCTGCAAAAATTTCTCGGTCAATAAGAAATAGAAGACAATAAGATTATCGACACTAGTTAAACATAATGTTACAATCTAATACACTCCAATTTGATCCATCCTACTTTAATTTAATGAGCAAAATCACCTTCATTCTCTCTCTCCCTATGTATAATCAAACCTATTACTTTCTTTGAGATATGTATAACTTATTATCTTATCAGGCTGCAAAAGATTGAATCTGAAGCATCTCCTAAATCTAGTTTCGCCAGATACTAATGGACGCTTAACAAATACCAATTCATTTAAGTTGATGACTATTCTGGAACTTAAAAGATTAAAAACAGAGAAAACATACCTTAATTGCAGAGAAAAGTCGAGCTACCCCAGATTGTGTCCAATCCTTTCCGACTAAGGGCATGAACTGGCCAAGAACGTCGGACCTAGAACGTAAGCATCAAATCAATAAACCAGTCATACTAAACCCATATTTGATTGCAAGACGTAAAGCAAAGTCAAAGATTTAACAACCATGAGTCTTAGCCGTTTTACTATTGTTGAAAAATGCCCATGCTTGCTCACGAGCTAAAAATGACAAAAGGTGATGTGTCTTCCATTTACATCTAAAAGAAGGGGATGTGTCTTTTCTTTGTTAAATTTAGGACCACGGCTTCATACATAATGCACCTTTTTTATTGGCAAACCCATCTTTTGTTTGTTAATGAAAAACGATATAATCCTCATCAGATCTATATTGTTTTATAAATTTTGTTAATGAAAAATGATATAATCCTCATCTAATCTGTAATCCTTTATAAGTTGCAGTACTTTAACAATAACCTCTACCCATCTGAACATTCTAAACACTGGTGTAAATAGATTGTTATCGTAAGCATCAACATGGATGTATAATTATCACTCTCACAATTCAAAGTACAATATTCTTGAATTCAAGATCTCAAAATAAAAAAAGATAAATTACTAAATAGATTGTTATCGTAAGCATCAACATGGATGTATAATTATTACTCTCACAATTCAAAGTACAATATTCTTGAATTCAAGATCTCAAAATAAAAAAAGATAAATTAATTGCGGTAAGATGGGGACTCAAAAATTTGGTCGTTCCTATTCATCTAGGATAAAGGCAAGGTTGATGATGATGGAGACTTAAATGTATTTTATTACACTCACCCTGGTGTCAAAAAAAGTATAATTTTTTTAAAAAATTGATGGAATCAAATCCCATGGTATAAAGAGCTGCATTTTGAAGATATTATTCCATCAACTCTCTTCCACCAGTTTAAACAATAGCTATTTTTGTTGAATTGAAACTAGCTTGTTATATGCCAGTTATGTGATCTAAATCAGGCTCTCTCTCTCCCGCTTCCTCCATGTACCATAATGAACATCTTCCAAGTTCTCATATTATCAAAACACAAAAAATCAACTGCAATATTATTTTAAATAACTAGCAGCACCTTTAATGTCATCTAAAATGTTGCAATGAATATTATATTTAGAATCAAGAAAATTGTAGGCGTGATTGTATTTACATGAAGTAGAAGAGGTGAAGTACAATGTGTTGATTATGCTCAATTTAAAATTCAATCATATCTATTAAGTAGCTAGAGTCATTGCTTAGTGCAATGGTTAAAAATATATATATATATTCGAACGTGAAGACATAGCTTAGAGTCTAAGAACAGCCACTTTCCGCAAAATAGTGTCCAATGTTAGGTTTGCCTCCAGGCTCCAGTTTTCCACTTAGCACCTCAAGGAGGCAGGACTGTAATGACCCTTTCATAAATTTAATCAACTAAGTAGATAATCAATAAACCAAGCAATCCCAAAACCAAAAAAGGCACACATGATTTCTGTGTGAAAATCTTAAAAGGAAAAAATCACACGAGTCCAAAACTGACAAATTAACTACATAAAAATTATCGAGTAACGCTGACTATCAAGTACACAGACTACTCGAAACTCAGTGTTACTCACTAGTTGATACACTCAAATCACAAGCCTGACAATAATTGAACACTTCCACACACAACCTTCTTCACCAGTTGTCCGCTCAAACCCACAAGCCCAGCAGTTGCTTCTCGACCCTTGAATTTGCTGTGAACTGCTTGGCAGGAGCAATATGGATTCCACCAGATAATACTTATACCTTGAGCAACACTTGATTCAAACCACTATTCAACAATATAAAGTCCATGCCTCTATCCGCAAAACTCCACCAAGAACATTTCACACAATAACTCTATGTTAATAAATATTGTTCTCACTCTACCATGCAGTCTTATATTTCATGTGTGTTATGGATAAAACTTGAGTCAACTTTATAGATTAGAGAAGTTTGACATCAATTAGGAAGTCAATAAGAAATAACGTGAATTACCTACTCCACCCAAAGTAGCGTTAACAACTAATAACTCACTGGACTAAGTTTGAGCAACACAGCTTGACCTTGATCGATTTGTGTCCTTATTGATCTAATCTCAACGGTCCACTTTTTTACTTCGATCACTACATGGTATACATTGCTTGATCAATTTACTGTCTTAAAGGGTGTGACCAAAGGCTTGAAGAACCTTCTCAATTGTTTGTAATTAGCTTTTCTTCAACCTTTAATCACAATTCAATGATAAACCAATCAAGTGACTCAACCCTAACAAGCTGACTTCTCGTAAGAAACTGAGAATATACCAACATAGGTGTATGTCCCTAACAATCTTTCCCTCTGGCTATTCCTGACTAATGGCTCAATCAAACAATGAAGTGACTCATGGAATATGCCAACATGTACACAAATTCCCAATAGCAGCCTAGTCCATAGGAGAAATTCATGAAACTTACTTGGTGATTGTTCCATCTACATCTGAAATTACAATCCGTGCATTCCACTTCCACAAGTATATATGAGCATCAACCTGTTGAAGAAGAATTAGGCTTAGCACTTGAAATAAAAAAGAATCAAATCAACCAGTTGTCGTCTTAAAATTGCAAGCATTAAATAGGTAGATGAATAAATACCTGTTGCATTCCTAAGACCCTGGTAGAGAAAGTGAAAGTCACCATATTTTGGCCTTCTTTGAGGTTCAAAGATGCTATTTGCTCAGTGGTGGGAACATTTGTCCTCAGAAGTTGCTTGTGAGGAGACTCACTGCCACCATGGGATGTTGGACTTGGTACTACAGGTTGATTCTGTGAGCCAGATTCACTATCAACAAAAACTTCCTCACTGGATGAGTTACTGCTAGTATGCTCGAGCGTTTTAACCCTTCTGAATGGAATTGGCCAGAGCCTCCATCTGCGCCCAGAAGGCGTAGAAGGGAGTCCTGAATCATCATCCTTGGATTTTGATGTCTCATCCTGTTCCACAGAAATAGTGTCTTTGGGCTCAACAGGTAAATGTAAACCATATGCAGCTATTCCAAGAACAAAAGGAGCAGCTTTATTCCAAGGCAAGTATCTCTCTTCCAATCTGATTACTAGGTTTTCATTCTTAACAATTGACGCTGCAGAAAGTTTGAATTCATCCTCAGATATTTTGTGTGCATCAAAGGCTTCAGCAGCCCCACTCAAACCCATACCAGCTCGAAGTAAGTTCCCACAAAGAGAGATCTCAAACCCTTCAAACATAAGAAAAATGATAAATAAATAAATGTTCTGTTAGAATCAAGCAACATATGAGAGTTCATAATTACAATCAAATTGACAGCCCTTACTTATGCCTGAATCACTTGTTATCCCTTCATTGGTAGTTGTGGTCTGAGGTTCCACACTCTCATTTTCACTGCTTTCATCTTTAAGAGCAGTTCCTTGCAGACTACTTTGCATCCCTTCTACTGCCAACGCTGTACCAGTCTTTTCCTCCAGTTCTTGATCATTACTAACAGAAAGAACAGACACACCATCAGAACCCGTATTAACTGTGCCCAATGCAATTTTCTCAGATGATTCGACGTCAACCTGTAAGTCTAGATGTGTTGGGCTGCTGAGAGAATCAGAATTAGAAGGAAATAATCCATCTCGATTTCTCAAGTCACCAGCACCTCCATCTTCAGTTTCATCTGCATGTTGAAAACTGTGAGGAGACTTTTCTTGTGAATCTTCAGCATTCTCATGAACCTCCAATGGAGAATCCATATCTTGGTTATCAGCATTTCCATCTTGCATGGCCAATTCTGTTAGCTCTAAACAGCTCTTAAAAATATCTCTCCTCTTAATACTATCAGGTGCATGTTCCAAATTGTTACATATGCAAAATTCTCTTTCCTGACCTACAATATTTTGATTTTCTTGAGCTTGACAGACATGTTCCCCATCTCCTTCACAAACTTCCAAGTGGTTCCCAGTAGTATTACTATCTTTGCTTATGTTGCAGGTGTCTCCAGAAGGAACTTCAGGTGTAGACGTGTCTAAATCACCTAAACAACCAGCAGCCCAAGGCTCATCCCCCAAGCTAAAATCTGTGTTGCCTTCACAGAAGTCAGTCTCCTGACCCGGACCCAAGTGAAACTGTGGTGTGCTTAACTGCACATTCTCAGTATTCGTTTCTGATGAGGAGATGGGAGCTGTGAGTATGTGACCATCTACACTAACCAAAACCACCTCTGAATTTGAATCCTGTGATTCCACAAAATGCCCTAAGCTATCTAAATTATCATACTGACTAGACTCGTAATCTGATGATTCAACCGATTTTTCAAGAGAGGAATTTTCATCTTGAAATTCATAAAATCTCCTTTCGAGATCAGATTCTGTCCTCTCAATTCTGCCCACACCCAAAGCAACATTTTCATCTTGCAATTGAACCTCGCCATTTTTAGAAACACTACCCTCTTGTCTACAAAGACTAATATTATCCTTTTCACTATCATCATCATTATTATAATCTATAGTACTATTCTCCTGTGTATCTTCTGGACTATCAGAATCCTTTAAAACCCTATTCACTTCACCATCTTTACCACAAACAGCCTCCCTTATAAAATATGCTTCCCCTGAATTATCAAGATACATATGGAAATTGGCTTCAATGCCATTGACATTAATATGAACAATCTTTTCCGCCCCTTTAAGAACACCCTGAAATTTACCGAACCGAACATACCAAGGCGTGCTGCGAAATGTCCCATCCTGCTGCTGAACAACAATTACATCAACCGCCCCACCAAACGGATGGAATGGTGTGGCAACAGAGTATACACCTTGTGATATTAGACTCCCAACCTTACCCACCACATTCATTGGGTCAACTACCAATATCCACCTTGAAGAAAGCCAAAAAAATTTAGAAAACCCTAATGCTATTTTAAAATCTAATAAGCTGTCAACAATCAAATAATCCGAACAAAACAACGTTCTCTTTTACCCTACCAAACAAACAACACAATGAATTCCTCAATTTCTTCGATTCTTTTTAATGATATCTGCATGCAATACGTAATTAATAATAAGTACATGGTCGTGTATTGACTGCATCAAAAGAGAAATTCAAAATCTTTCGACATGAAATCATCAAACATGAATTTACATAAAGAAATTTTAACATTCGGAAAAGAAAAAAAATGGAACAACAATTGCATTGGAAATAACGTAAAGAAATGAAATTGATGAACATTCTCGGAAAATAAGTGGAAAGTGCGATTAAAGACTTACAGATTCAAAATCAGCAAATTCACAGAAAACTTTCCCAAAAAAAAATCCCGAGAAAGAAGAGCGATTCGACAGCTGAAGAGAAGTAAAATATGTATCTCCGTCTGTCTTCGTTCTCTCCTCTCTCCTTCTCTATCAAGCTTTCAAATGATATAGTACATGAAATTTACAGGTGATTCTCTCTCCAGAAGTGGACAACAGGTGGTGGTGTTCTTTATGTTTTGTGTATTGTTGTGTCAATCCTCAATTCTTCATTAGAGAATTTCTTGGGCTTTGAGGTTTGGACTTTCAGAAGATTAATACTCCGTATACCAAACAGACAAAAGAGTCATAAAACTCGAGCAATAAATAGGTAATCCTCCAAGAATAAAGTGTTTCGTTACATATTTACCCATACGTTCTTACTCGATTTCCAGAAATACTTGTGAATTGATTCGTAGATATAAAATGCTTGAAGGGCTTTATGGTAATTGCAACAGCCACCGGTTCTGTTCCAGGTTTGAACAGGTAACGCCGAGTTTGAAAAGACGGAGCCAGACCAATACCACCTCGTAGTCCTCTTGTCTCATATTGAAAAGACTAAGCTGCCCTTAAAGTTGTTCACCATCCATCATAAAGCCTTGGGCAAATTTGTAATTGTAAGACCAACTAGACATTAGAAAATTTAATTTACTTAAATTATGGTAAAACTTGTAAATGTAACCTCCAAGTTTCAACAATGTAACACACTGCTTTTGCTTTGTGTCTTTTTCTATTCGAAACAAAATACAAAAGCGTATTCGATACGGTAACTAATGCTCATTAATACTTAAATATATTAAAAAAAATTTTAAAACTTGGTCAAAACTAAAAGTATTAAATTAGTATTTTCAATTACTTTTGTATCGTAACAAAAGTACGATAAAATGAATAATATTTTTAAAAAAAAATTTCTTAAATTATATTTTTAACCAATCATGTTTTTTTTTTTTCAAACTCAAATATTATTTTTTGTATGTTTTTACTTTAAAAAATCTTACAACAAATATAACGTTAGTAAGGATAGAGTTAATGAAGGACAAAGGGAGGCACGCGCCCTTTGTTTGGTTCCGCCCTCTATTATATATGTAGTAATTTTTTATATTATATTATATACATATATATGAAAATTTCTATGCAGTGCTTTCCTAAATTTTGTAATTTCTAAAATTATTTTTTTATTTTCTCTTTTACTCTTCAAATTCTATAAATGTTAAATTTTCATTCCTCAATTTGAACTTTTAACTTTTTCCTTGTAAAATTCTCTCATTTTTCTTTCCTTTTTCTATTCCTACTTCTAAAAATTCTTCTTTTTAACTCACATATTTAAATAATTTAAATAAAAAATGTAACTTGGATCAAAATAAAAGTACAAAGCAAAAGTGGTTGCTAAATAGATCCTTAATTAACTATTAACTATATGAAAATAATTTTTTGTAGTGCCAAAATTACCCATTAACTCTGTCGGTTAGTCAAATGCTTAAAGGGTTTTATCATTTTTTAATACCTAAATTATATTTTGGAAGATAAATTATAGTAATTTACTTACACAATTATATAATTGTTTACTTACACAATTATATAACAATTATATAATTGTTATACAGACACGTGACAATGCTTGGGTAATAAAAAAATTTACTATTAACCAAAATCATCCAATTAGTAGGTTGTTAAGAGTTAGATGGCACATGTTTAATAAAATAATCATACCATCCAAGAGTCAAATTTTGACAATCTGTGTAAATAATCTAACTACAGCCAGGACTGAATCGTGCTTATTATTAATATTATTTTTTATTTACTTATATTTGATACATTGAAATTAATTTTATATGAATGAGACATGATGTTATCATAAAATCATGTACATTAATGACATAATTATTATATCAACAGTTACTCACATAAATAATGTAGTCCAAAAATTAAGATTATCGACTTTTAAACTCTAAATCATTATTTATTATAAAATATAAAATAAAAAAAGATAGAACACATATGAAAGTAAAAAATAAGAAAAGATGGAATAATTAATGGATGTAAAAGTGGTGTTTGGATTAAAAAAATTATATATAACATCTATTACGGCAGTGAAAATGTACATTTCACCTACTCTTGTTTTTCAAAATGAAAAATGGTGAGTTTTCAATCGGTAGAGTTTTTTTTTTCAATAAAAACATACAAATTACATTTTCCATTAATTGCCTTCTTTGGACTTCCATGCCAGTTAGAGTTCCTTTTTCTTTATTTCACCCAATGGCATTTTTTCAGTTTTTTTTTTTTTTTTTTTTGATTAAATTTATGATTACCAATTAATGAAAATAGCCATGCAATAAACTGATTGTTCACACCACAGTAATAATTAATAAAAGAAACTTTTTGGCTGGAACAAATGGGATTGGCCCAATCAGCTAAACCATGGACTATTTGGATTGAAAAATGATTATATGGTAATTGATTCGGATCCAAAATTGAATGCGAGTCCAAATACTATAATCTGAACTTAAATTTATATGGAACCGTTTAAAATATGTGTCCATAGTAATTCAATGTTGTGTTATTGTAGTAAATGTTTGTTTTTCTTATATAATTTTTAACTTAGACCAGTCAATAACCCCAATACCGTTGAATAAACAGGACACGATTCTTAATTTTTGACACACAGAGATAGATCTATCATTTTCTTCTCTCTTCTAGTTATAGATCTGAATTCATTTTGGGAATAGAAAATCGTGAACTTCAATTCACCCGACCAATTGTATATCTCAGCAGATTCACAACCACCAACACCACCACCGCCACCTACTCCGCCGCAACGGTCATCACCATGCCGAAAATGCCGCTCACCGTTTTCCTCTTCCTTCTCCTCCTCTCCCTCACCACCCTAACCACCGCCGAGATCAAATCCCTAAAGATCACCGACGACAATCGGCCCATGATACTCTTCGAGAAGTTTGGCTTCACCCACACCGGCCACGTCTCCGTCGCCGTCTCCGCCGTCTCCGTCACCTCCACCATCCGCCGCCCTGACCCCTCCCGCCACGGCTTCTTCCTCCTCTCCGAAGAATCCCTAATCCAAGTCCTCATCGAGCTCCAACAAAACCCTAGCTTCTGTGTCATCGACTCCAAGTACATCAAACTCCTCTTCACCTTCCGCGACCTCTCTCCCCCTCTTCACAACTCCTTCAACCAATCCGAACCTGTCATTGCCCCCAATGAATACAGCCTCTTCTTCGCCAATTGCGAAGCAGACAGCCGCGTCACCATGGATGTACGCACCGAGGTCTACAACCTCGACCAAGGCGGCGTCAAAGACTACCTCTCCGCCGGACTCACTCACCTCCCCACCCTCTACTTCCTCTTCTCTTGCGTATACTTAGCTTTCCTAGTCCTTTGGGCCTACGTTTGCCTCACCAACAAGCGATCCGTCCACCGGATCCACCTCCTCATGGCCGGATTGCTCCTCATGAAGGCCCTGAATCTGATCTGCGCTGCCGAGGACAAGCACTACGTGAAGCTCACCGGCACGCCTCACGGCTGGGACGTTTTGTTCTACATTTTCCAATTCCTTAGGGTTGTGTTATTGTTCACGGTGATCGTGTTGATCGGGACTGGATGGTCTTTCTTAAAACCCTTTTTGCAAGAGAAGGAGAAGAAGGTGTTGATGATTGTGATTCCGCTTCAGGTCTTGGCCAATGTGGCTTCGATCGTGATCGGTGAGACTGGGCCGTTCATTAAGGATTGGGTTACATGGAATCAAGTGTTTTTGTTGGTAGATATTGTGTGTTGTTGTGCCATTCTTTTCCCGATTGTATGGTCGATCAGAACGTTGAGAGAGACCTCGAAGACGGACGGAAAGGCCGCCAGGAATTTGGCTAAATTGACTCTGTTTAGGCAGTTCTATATTGTGGTGATTGGGTATTTGTATTTTACGAGAATTGTTGTGTTTGCGCTGAGGACGATCGCTGCATATAAGTATCAGTGGGTGAGCAATGCTGCTGAGGAAATTGCGAATCTTGCATTTTACATGGTGATGTTTTATATGTTCAGGCCGGTGGAGAGAAATGAGTACTTTGTTCTTGATGAGGAGGACGAAGAGGCGGCGGAGATGGCCCTTCGAGATGAAGAATTTGAGCTCTGAAACCCTTCTAGGAAGAAGATATTGGTGATAGGTTGGTTCGCCTCACATGGATATACTGCTCTCATATTGTCACACATTGTGAGTTGCTTAATGAATTTATAACTGAATTTTCCTGCGTAATACTGTTTTCCCTCCCTCTCTTTTCTCTTTTGTTCTTTTTTTTTTTTTCCCTGTTAATTAAACTTTGGTCTTCACGGAGCAGTGATTGTATTTTATGCTGATCAAATTATTATGTCATTTGACTCATTTTGTTGCTATTCACTCTACTTTATAATGTCAATTCACAACTAGAGATATATCTGTCAAATTTTCATTCTTTTGTTTCATCTTCTTGTTTCGTTGTTGTGGTTTTCATTTTGCTTATTATTTCAATTAAAAAAAATTTCATTCTTTTGCTTCATCTTCTTGTTTCATTGTTGTGGTTGTCTGCTATCATTTTGCTTATTATTTGAGGATATTTACTTTAATGCGTTAGCACTGTATCCGGCACTGCACCTGTGTAATCAGAATAATTGTTGGAAATTTCATGTTTTGTATTTTTTTTCTTTTGATGACTACCAACCACTTGTGAGTGGTTTTTTTTTTTTTTTTTCTACCAGCCTTGAACCGGTTGGGAGTTTAGACCGAAACCCACTAGGACAAAGGTGGACCAGTCACACTGAGTGGGTTTTTGCTTGAACTTTTGTATGCCGAATCTCGTGTTATTGACTCATTCAATTGAGGAAGTTTTCTTTTCTTGTTGAAAAATTGTTCCTTCCAATTATATTATTACTTTCCAATTCTTTATTAAATATACATTTCATATATTATGTGTTAGTCTTACAAATTTTTAGGCCTTTTATTTCAAGTGCATTTTGCCAACTTTCTAATTTGATACTCAATTCTTTCTTAGAAGTAGTCACGAACGCTATGTAGTCTGTAAACAACATGCACCATGAGATGTCTTTTTGTATATCTTTCGTTATTCATCTAAGACTAGTGTAAATAGATTTGGGCACCATGAGATGTCTTTTTGTATATCTTTCGTTATTCTTCTAAGACTAGTGTAAATAGATATGGGCTAAGTACTGATCCTTGGTGTAAACCTACTTTTTTTCTCCACAAACAGTATGAACCCTAGTCTTGCTAGTCTCATACATATCCTTAATAATTGTGATGTCGTGGTCCGAGTTGGGTGAATTTTTTTTGACCCGTTTTCTCTTTGCAGGTCTTGGACCCTACTTTTTTTTTTTTTTTTTTTGATAAGTAGGTCTTGGACCCTACTTTGAACTCTCTTGTAGCCTAGTATATAAGAGAGAACACTTAAAATCTCAGAAAAGAGAGTTAGCAAGAGAGAGCTAGGGTTTGGAGAATGAAACTTGTAATCTCTTGTTTTCGTGTAGTGATATCTTTTGCCGATCTTCACTGTGGACATCGGCTTACACCGAACCATGTAAATCTTTGTGTTCTTTGTGCGTGACGTGTTTACTTTTTTGTCGCGATTCTTGATTGTGCTCTTGGTTCGTGTGTTTATCATAACAATATTGTTAATAAGATTTAAACGGGCTCATTTTCTATATAAGGTCCACCAAATTATATCTGTTGAAACTCTATCAGATGCCTTCTCTAAGTTTATGAAAACCATGTATATTGTTTGCTTAACTTTTACATTCTTCTATCAATTGCCTAAGTAAGTAAATGGCCTCCATAGTGGATCTCCCATGCATAAACTCAATTTAGTTTTTGGTCACTGGTTCCCACAATTTCATTATGACTCATTAATTTTATTCCTTGATAACTACTACAATTTTGTATTTATCACATTTATTTTTATATATTGAGACAATTGTACTTTTTGCCATTTGGTATCATTCTTTCATTTAAGATTTTATTAAATAAAGTTGTTAGCCATTCAATTTCCATGTTTCCTAGAGTTCTCCAAACTTCAATTGGTATGTTGTCAGGTCCCACCACTTTGTTATTACCATCTTTTTAAGTGCATCATCTATTTCTCTCTTGTTGATCCTATTTAGCATTCCGAGATTATTATAGTCATCGTATATAATTTTTCTCTAGAATGTTCCTCATTCAAAAGTTGTTGAACATAATCTTTCCATCTATTTAACATGTTGTCTCTTTAACTAATTTCTTTTGATCTATATCCTTAATGCATCTAATTTGATCCATGCCCTAGTCAACCTATCTCTACTTTTTGCTAATTTATAAATATCTTTTCTCACCATCCTTTGTACCTATTTTTTCATTCACACTACTTAGTGCATTTTTATCATTAAGAGTTTCCATACAAATGTTTAACAAAATTGACATTGACTAACAGCATACAACATACAACATGAAATTGTATATCTTTTGTATTTCATCTTACACTATTGTAAATCGGTAGTCTGGACTTAATGTTGATCCTTAATGCAAACCTATTCTCCATATATAATTCCAACTAGTCCTTGTGTCTCAAGTTCCTTTCTCCCTAATGCGTTAGATATCATCTAATATGAAAGATTGTTAGACTTCAGTTCCTTTCTCCCTTCTCTGGTGGTCCAACAATCTCAATTTTTTGCCCTACATTTACTCCATTGTTGTTTGAGAAGAAACAAGTAATTCCCTATTTATAATAAAAGAAATCTCACTTCCATTACCAAATTTTCAACTCTCACCAAATTTTTGAAAGAAGGAACTTCAGTTTCTGTGGAAGGGAAATGGAAAGCCTTATGAATCTCAATTAAAGAAAATATATATAGCGATGATTTAGATGAGTTATTTTCCCCCGACGTGCCTTAGAAGTCCCATTTTTGTTATTGAAACGGAAACTGACTGTTGTTGTATGACAGAACTTTTTTGTGCTATATTTACCTTATTATTATTATTATTATTATTTTTTATGCGGAATATCTCTCTGTGTGTTGCATATGATAACATGACTTAAAAACTTGATAGATGCTTTCATAAAAGAAAGTTGTGTATATTGTGGAGTATTGCATGCTTGAGTTTGTGAGGTATGTCTTCCCAATAAATTCTACAGTCGTGGGAATTTGATTGATCAGTTTGAAGTGAAGAGACTATTTTTTTGTGGATGTGCCGATCCTTTGTCAGTAAAGTTGTTTGTACTGTGGATGTGGGCAATGTGTGAGTGAGTACTTACCTAACAAAACAAAAAATAAATAAATGTTGTTTGTAATTTCTTTATGTTTCCCTTAACTGTCTCTGACAACACCATTTGCTGTTGCAACAGTTTACTTTCTCTGAATTGCTGTGATATATGTAAACATATATATCATCATTAATTAGAATTTTGAGTGGCTGATGGCTATACACAAATTAATAACTGCATTAATATGTGCATTATTTGAATACAAGTAATACTTGTCAGTTACTCAACAAAAAAAAAAAATCATAATTTACATGGATATGCATATGCATATCCATGCGAGGTGTGGATACATATGGGTAAACCCTCTAGTATTAACACACACAGACACTGTTGAATTGTCAATATCCTACTTTTGCTGTGTGTATATATATATTTTGGTCATTTTAAGAAGTTATAAATGTGTTTTAGGAACTAAATCAATCTAGGTATTTGGTTCTTTCAAACTTTGTCGGATGCAGTTGTTATTTACTTGCCTGACTGCTAGTTTGTAGTTGTACAACACATATCCCATGCACTTATGTTTGCAACATTACACGTATCCATGTTATCTCATGCTCAACAATGTTCCGTCACACATTTTGTATTGTTTGTGTAAGAGTACATGCTGGATCCTTGCATCCTTAGATACAGAAGTGTCACTGCCTATTGCAGGTTAGGTGGACCGTATAATGGTTAATGACAGTGATTGGATCTATAGGTGCCTTTTCGAGATGGAAACATTAGTAGTTTGTTGCAGTTCCGATATGGCCATGGAGTCATTCACTTAAGAAGGCATTTTACCTATTAAATTTAGAACTCATAGTAATTATGTTCACCGTCTAGATTATATTTGTGAAATGGAGATATGCGGATGCTTAATTTGATTAATGATACCTTGAATCAACGCATAGTTTTTTTTGCAGTTGTTTGATCTGTTTCTGTTTAGAGACGTTTTGGAAACTTAAGTTTATTTGTCTTCTTTGACAGACATATATGGCTCCAGTATAAATCTGTATTATGTTTGTATATGTGGAAAATGTATGAGAACAGTTAAAAGAATTCAAGTATAAAATGTATGAAGCATGTGTGTGTGTGACAGACAGCTTTTTACATATTCAAACCAGAAAAAGTAGAAATGTTACAGAAAAGTATTTAGTTGATTTTTGAAAAATGTCTTTCGGAAATTCTTGAAACTGAGCCTTGTTTTAGAAAACCATTTATTACAATTTGAACAATACTTCTCTCCTTACTGGTGAATAATCTGTATTAGGTAGCAATATGTATATAATCCCTTCCATGTGATTTTGGAGTGGCAGGCATGGTAACATAGGGCAAAAAGGCCATGTTTGGTCCGATTGAATTAAGGAAGATTTAACCTGTTGAAAACATATTTAATTGGGTTGAAAAACCCTACAGTACTGCAAAGGATCCGGCTCACCATCATTACAAACTTAACAATCATGATTCATCATTGGCCTGGACACCATCCAGCCTGATTCTATTGGCTCTATTAAACATTGAAAAATTGTGTATATTTTCTTGATGCATTCTCATAGCGTCTAAGGTAATTTAGAACTTAATAAAATAACCGTACTGCAATCTTTCAGAAATTATATCTTGATGCTGAAGAATATGCTAAAAAGGCAATGCCATACTGCCATTTGTTACACAACCAAGATAACATAATAATGTCGTACATTAGATTGCAAATACACATTTAAATTTGTTTTGTATAACCTCTTACTTAAATATCAATGTGGAAAAGATTACAATGCTTTACAAAATTGTAAAAGTTACTAATTGATTATTTTTTTAATAGGATTGTTATCATATTTGTCTTTTGATTTTTTTTTAAAGCATATTCTTGTAAAGTACAAATACTTTTAAAACAAATCTTTATTATTATTTGTTTACAACGCTTTTCTAACTCACCTATAAATAGAGGTGGGTATTTGTAAACACGATTAAGAAAGAGAGTTCATAAAAAGTGATGCAACTCTTTGGGTTTTGTGTGTCGTGGATGTAAGTTACACATTATATTTAGATCATTCTTTTATCATTTTGCACGTTGCATCATTTCGTACATTTTTTCTTCATGTCAATTGAATAGTGACATCTTCAAAGGAGTCTCTTTGTGGAGAAATTATTAGATGGTCCTGGTCTAATTTAATGAAAACCTTTCGATCATGAAACTTTGTAATTTATTAATACACTCTTGTGGGACCATTTTTTCAATCCGAGAATCTGTATTTAACTGGTCTACCAAATGTTAATGATTCAGGATTATCTAATAATTTCTCCTCTTTGTGACTATATCATTAGGGAGCCTCTACATCAATTATCATCATATATTTTTATCTTATTATCACTCTAGAATTATTTTTTGTATGCTTAAATGCATATTGTTGGCTATATGCCAAATTTCTGATGAAGTGATCAGAATCATGTTTTTCACTCTTACAGACTATGTTCACTTGCATATATCTTCACTGGACATTATTTTCATACATGTTCCACCCTGGGAATGTTAAAGTTACTATAGTTGAGTAACAAGTTTTTCCTAATAGGACTGATTGATTACCATATTTGTCTTTTAACTTTCTTTAAAGTACTTCCTTTATAATCATATTAATGTAAAGTAAGAATACTTTTAAAATAAATCTTTATTATTCTTTGCTTACAAGTCTTTTCTAACTCACCTATAAATACTTCTAAATAGATGCGTGTATTTGTAAACACGATTAAGAGAGTTCATAATAATAAGTGATGTACCCTTTTGGGCTTTGTGTGTCGTGGATGTAAGCATTAATAGCTAAACCACGTTATATATATTTTAACCAAAACTAATATTAAATATATTTTTAAGAAAAGAACAATACTCAGGTCCTCATTAGTGTAAATCTACACCATACTGATATCACCATCTCTGATTTGGTAAGTGAGTATCTGCACCACCATATTGAATTTGTTAATTAAAGATGACATCTTCATTTATTATTGGTTCACATTAACAGTAAGGATAGTGTAGATTCTCAATAGTAAGGATGGCGATGCCAAGTAAAATCTAAGGGTTTATTGGCACGTTAAACTACTAGTATCATTTTCAGAGTAAGTAAAGAATGTAAAAGAAGAAAGTTTATATTGTAAAACGTAGTTATGGTATAATAAAATAAGAGATAATCCATTAATTTGCTTAGTGACTTTTTTGTCATTGGAAAAAATAAAAGTGAGGTGCGAATATTGCATCCCTAATTTTATTGTCACAAAAGGTAGGACCCTTTTTTTTATCAATTAGTACAAAGGTAAACTTAAATATTCAAATAAATTCTAAATTAATTCTTAAACAAATTACCATTCCATCATTATTATCATCGAAGGATTTATGGAATAATGGTTCATGAAGTTTTAAAAATTATTTTATGCTAACAATATCAATTATATAGTTCAACTCTGTTATTTTTTCATTTGTGAATTTTTTTATTATTACTTACAAAGATTAATATCAAATCCCAATTAGAGAGAAGAAAAGGTTAATACAAAATAGATAAAGTATTTAGAAAGGTAGGACAGTAGGACACGAGAAAAAAATCTGACCACAATTAAAAAGGATAATTGTGGTATTTGTGGTTAAAAAAAAATTATAGTATTTGAAAAATATATTTATTAATTTTTAAAATTAAGATTAGATGTATTTAAAAAAATACATCTTAAAAATATATTTATATTTATTTAAAATATATATTTATATTTATTCATTTCTTTTAACGTTGGATTTCAATCGCAAAGTTAATCGGATCATCTCCCTTTTTAATAATACAATAATGGTAAAAGATAAAAATGAAAAAAAATGTAACCCCAATCCGCCGTAGAGCAAACCCCGGAGAGGTCATTATATTTTTCCCAAACGAAAACCCTAGGATTGTGTGCTCAAATGTAAATTCCGCCTCCTCCTTTGGCACCGTCTCTCTCACGATTCCGTTGCTCACTAACACGGTGTGTTTTCTTTTTCTTGTCTTCTTTTGTTTCTTCAATTTTTTCACGGCCATTTTTGTCTTCAGAATTATCAGGACGGTGATCCATCTACACAATCCAGATCTGGTACACAATCCAGATCTTAGCTTGAATGTTTCACTCTGGTTTAGACTTGGTTTGAAACATTACATGCATATATGTAAAGTTTTCACTTATTAAAAAACTTGTTTACTGACTAGTCAACTAAAAGGTTCTTCAACACCATCCTTTAAATAGTTGGATATTTGAATATATAATTTTGAATTACAGCCGAGAAATTAAAGTATTATTGGAGTTAAATTATTGCAATTGCCTGTTTTCTGAAACCAAAAAAAAAAAACAATTTTTACCTGAGGAACCAACAAGGAAAAAACTGTGTCATTTGCACAATTAACCTAAAAGATTGAGGCTTTATTGGTATCAATTTTGTGGCGTGTTTTGTGGAGTATTTTGTGGCTGCTTTCTCGATTAATGTATGTCATGGTTTTACATTGCCCCAAATTACAATAACAACTGTTCATGCTCTTAAGCATAGATTTTTCACATTGTATTGAATATTTGGGTAAAAATTAGTGATGCAGATCTACTCAGTGTTGGGTTGCTTGGAAGTGTTGCCTTGGAATTGGAATTGGAATTGGAATTGGAGAAAAATTAGTTCAAAGTTTATACTAATTCTATGCAACCCAACATAATGCAACCCAACATAGCATTAAACAATTGTTTGTTGTTTTATATTAACCACAAACCAGCTCTTTTCGTGGGAAGTTCTATTCTATACTTGTTTCTAAAGACGTCTAGAGGATTGTAATGGGTGGGCTTCGCGACGTAACCCAAAAACATAAGTTGTTAGGTGGGCTAACACCCAAACCCATTTCACTTCTCATTCGGAGCCGATGTGGGACAAACTCAAACTCGCAACGCCCTTGTTGCGGGTCGGGCCACCCTGCCTACCTGGGTGGTGGTCCGGACACTTTTTGGTCGGGCGCTTGGCGTGACATCGGAACAAGGATTGAGGCTGACTCGCTATACCAGTTGTAATGGGTGGATGAATCGTGATTCGATCCAAAAATTTAAGTTGTTAGGTGGGGTTAACACCCAACCCATATATACTCATTTCACTTCCCATCCGGATCCGATGTTGGGACAAACCTCTAACAATTAACTCTTATATGCATATATAAATGAACTCATATAATTAGAAAAAGACTTGATTGTTGTTGTCGTCATTTTATGCATATATAAATAAACATTAGAGGCAGGATTTTTTCCCTAACTATTATCCTTCTTTTATGTACAGCTTTGCGCGTGGTGGGAATTTTTCAGCAGCGAATAGTTCAATTGATATGGATCAAATGGAAGAACTTGAAAGTAATTAGTTTGAAAATATTGTCTATAACATTTGAATATTATTGTGTACTACTCTTGATATATGTAGTGTTTTATGATTTTTGTTTCATGGGATGTTACTTTTCCAATATGAAATTAATTCTGGTTGTTCTTGAATCTACCTAAATGCTGATAGCTTCTGTAGTATTACAAATTTGTGTATTGACAGATTTTTCTGGAGAGGCGAATCTTAATTTAAGATGAGGAAAACAAAATTATGCCACAATTGCATCCCTCAAGCTAGTAGTGTTTGGATTATAAATTAACTGAAGTAATGCACAACAAATCATTATAACTTTTTTTTTACCCATTGGTTTTTCCCAGGAATGATTTCTGGGCAGTATGTTTGCTATGAGATGAGTTCTCTATTGCCACATCTTTCCTTTTTAAATGCTAGACTTAAATCTCAAGTCAAATATCTTTTAAAAATTTGTAGCAGCTATACAGTTTGCTCTTTTGATTCTTGTTATGATCTTCAAAGCCTGTGGTGTTCAAGTTGAAATTTTAATCCATATCTGCTTGTTATATTCTTCATTTGTAATTTTATCATCATCTCTGAGAGCTGCAGTGTTCCACTTGTGGAAGAGCCTCCTATCACAATTGGGATTGAAGATGGTGACTTTTTTTTTATGCAGTGAGCGATGAGGTGGAAGGGGAACTTAGCATTGGTGATGGTGAGGTAATTGGTTCAAATGAGTCGGTGATTCCTGAACCATTCTTTGTGCAGGCAAGGCAGGAAGAGACAAAGATTGCTTGATGTGAGGGTGGCAAAGAAGTGCTCCATGGACTTGCAATGGAGAAGCAACAGGCATCCTCTGGTGTGGCTGGATTTCTTGGGGTGGATGCTGCAGTGACAAATGAACCAATTGTCGAGGAGCTCAATCCAGGAGTAGTTTTAGCCACACATGAGGTGCAAAACTCGGATTGCAATATTGCAATTTCGTCACACAAGGATGTCCTCTTGACTGAGGAGAGCTGGAATGGCGTTATAATTGCTTCCGACTTGGCCTCTTTTTTGAAGGTAGCATCCTCGTGTCATCCAGAGACTTTCAAATCTCTATGTGGCCGTCATGTCATCATAAGGCGTTTTGCATTTAACTGCATTGGAAGGGTTCTACAGATTTTTGTCCAATGGTAACTACGAAGAGCCTTTGTTTATCAGAAGCAAAGTGTTTGGTGAAAAATTTGAAGGGTGTTGGTGCCCAGGTTGTCTGGCTCGATGAGCAATTGAGCATTATAGCAGAGAAGGCTTCGAGAAGGGGCCAGTCTTTGAGCTCTTTTGAAGGTGAGTCGTGCTGAATATGCTATCTTCCAGGGCTATTATGATGACTAAGACTGCGATGCAACTAGGTTAACTATCTATTTGTTATAATATGTTATTTAAGGAAATGTTATGGAAACCAGTATGTTTGCTTTTCTTCATTTATTAACGGTAATGCTTGATTTTGGAAAGATTGATAGGCTGTTTATTCTTCATCGTCTTTGATTGTAGAGAGAGTATTTTGTGCGTGCTGCTGTTTCCTAATTATTTTGGATTCTAATCAAAATCGGATCTATATAGGATGTTACATTATATAACGGGATTGTTAATTACACACACCCAAGTGCGTGTTGCCCTTTCACCCCTATCTCATATTTTTGGGCTACTAACCCGTCGGTAACGCTACCGTTTGGCCATTTTTTTTTTTTCTTTTCATGTGATTTTTAAGAATTCATGGAATAAGTGGACTGGCCAATCTTAGAAAAATGATACCAGAAGCAGTATCAAATTCAAAAAAAAAAAAATATATATATATATATATATATATATATATATATATATATATATATATATTTTATATAGTGTATCTCATGAAATTTTGAAAAAAGAAAGAATCAAATACAGAATAAAAAATAAAAATAAAGAATTATAATAGATACCAAAGTGACATAAAAAAGGAAGTTATCAAAGTGACCGGTCAACATCCATCTTTTATAACAATCTCAGACGCACGTCCTTTTTTAGGGAAATAAAATATTTACAATCCAGTTATTATAAATTAAGGAGTGATGTATAAATGAGTTTATAAATTTTTTTATCATTCTCTTTAAAAAAAAAAAAAGAAGAGAGAAGTGAAGTGTAATTGTAGAAAAGTAAAGTGCGAATATTGTCTCTTTTTTTTATATTTAAACTCTGAAACTGGTTTATTTTATTTTCAAAAACAACCAAATTTTTAGTTAATTGGTACAATCAACTATCACATCCTCCAAAATAATCTTGAAGATCTCTTAAAACATGACTCGATTTTTTATATTGACGTGACAAAATTATTTTTAGAATTACAAGTCTTAAGAGTAGCTTTACCAAAAGAAACAAGAAAAGGCAATTGAATTATTAGATTTTATAAAATGGCTAGGTTGTTGTTTCCAAATTCTTGAATTACATATATTATTGATTATTCTGTTTACAGTTGCATCTGCTGAGATAAGCTTTTCAAAGTTGCAATTGATCAAATCCGGTCGATGATATGTTCGAGAAACTTGATTGTTAACACTTTAATTGATAATTTTGCATCTAAAAATACAAGATGGTCACATTTACTTTGATATGAAATAAAATTTTAATTTTTGTTACTAAGTTGTGTTGACTATATCTTTTTCTTTTTTTATGTAAATTAGAGCGTGCTCTTTATAAAGAGCTAAGAGCGGGTATGAAATTTCGTCTAGAATCTCTCAAAATTTTAGAAATCTCAAAAAGGGCGGTGGGTGTATATAATCATTTGAGCAAGCATATGATAATAAATTGCATATATGTAACTGGTCATACAACACCGACCAAGTCCATATTTAGCGTGTAAACGTAGTTCAACATTCCTTGCATTACAATACACCAAATTTATGACAGAAATATTTTGCATTTCAACTACAACACAAGTTTAACATTTTAAACAACTTAACACATTGCTAAAAAAACATGCTAGAAATTAAATAAAGCACATAAACACAACTTGAGAATTATCATCAACAAGATTAACACATCTTTACCTCACAATGAACAAAACTCAAGAAATCCCACAGAACTAAAGTGTCCCAAACCAAGATTTTGAACCCTAGAATCGTATAATATGAAGATGAAAACAAACTTCTCTTAAATGGCTTCTCCAAAATCAATCTTCAAATGTCTTGAAATCTAGATTGAAAAGTTTTAGATCAAAGTGGGTGAAAATATGTATAGATTTAGAAAGAGTAAGTGTAAGAATATTTTGGGCCCTCCTTGCGTCTCCTTTTATTGTCTTTCAACTATTGCTTAATTACAAACTTAATCCCAAACTTCTTAGCTATTTTTTCCTTGTTTTAAGCTAGTTTGGAAAAATTACCAAATAGCCCTCCTCCTTTTCACTTCTCTCAATGAAGTCCAGAATGACTTTCATTGAAGCCCCAGTCATTCCCGAGTTTCACACATCTGAATCAACGTGAACTCGACAAAAGAATAAAACTATTGATGCAAGATTTTACAGCGACTCGGAACGACGTCATATTTGAAAGAGAGAAAAAAAAGAAGTGTTGTACTGGCGTAAGAGCTTTCGACCATCAAGTTAGTACTAGCTCAGGAAGTGAAAAAGACTTTTATAAGAATTTGTGTCGTACCTCATGGGTTCATTGAACCCCCTTTTTTATAAGGGAGGGTGGTAGCATTCAAGTAGGAAATCTATTTCCCTTTACTTTTCCAACACAGATAGGAAAGTTATTTGTTATCCTTATCCTTCTCATTATCCTTCGTTGTAATTTACCTTTAGTGCCGATTAAACTGAAGTGCAAGAAAGGAAAATCAAGTTTACATCATGCATTAGCTTAGCATGAATTTTTTTTGAAGAAAGTTGTGAGAAAATTTTATTTTGTCACTTTGAATAGCATGAAAATGAAAAGAAAATGATTCTATTTATCAAAAATACCCTCTAAACTTCTAAATTACACTATTTTTATTTTTATCAAATTATATATGGAATGGAGAAGAAAATAAGATATAATATTATGCAGAAAAAAAAAGAATTTGATATGAGAGATTGACTATAGGTGAGTTCCAAACAGTTGACCAACAATCCCAACACTAACTCAGTTTTCACCCAACACTCTTGCGATCAACAAATACTTATGTATATATATAAGTTATAGCAACTCTTAATCATTTATCAATTATGAATTTTTTTTTACTAATCTCTTGCTATCAACAAATAACCATGTATATATATAACAACTCTTAATCATTATCAATTATGAAAAAAATATTTTACTAATTTCAGACATTCTGAAAAAAAAGTGAAAAAAATAATTTAATAATGAAAGGAAAAAATAAATTAATTTTTGGATGTACACATAAAAATACAAATAATTAAATTAGTAATACATGATTGAATAAACAAACAATTTACATAAGAGTTGAATGAAACTCTTTTCAATTAAGTTCAGAGAAAAAAAAAATGAAGAGAGACAATCGATACGGGTATAATAGAAAAGTAAAATATAAAGTGCACAACTTTTGCGAGAAAGATAATTTTTGTATGTTTTATGCACGAAAAAGGAATATTCTTTTTCTCAAAACTTTCATTTTCCCTCTAACCAAACTTCTTAAAAATTAAAATCTTTTCATTTCTGGTTATTTGACCCTAACCAAACGGATGCTTAATGAAATTCTCCATCTCATATCAGAAACAAACCCGAAAATACTCAAACGAGGTTCCCAAAGGCTAAATCATGGTAAAACCCAAAGTTTCTACAAGGCTTTGCTCTTGGGTGTTATCCTCTCCTTTGGGCCTGTCCAATGGGCTGAGGCAATGGCTAGTCTTGTAATTACTTATACTTTATATATATATATATATATATATATATATATATATATATATATATATACACACACTTTTAAATTCTGAAAAAAAAAAAAAAGTTATTAGGTGATTTGTTACGAAGGATGAACGGGTTTGGACCATTTGGTAGCTAAATTTATTGTGTAATATTTAAGAATAAAAAGTGATGTTTGAAAGACTGTAAAAACAAAAAAAATTGTTATATATTATATTAATTTTAGAAAAAGATTTGCTATAGTTGTTCAGTACTTCAGTTATAGTAACAAAAACAAATAAAAACGATTTTTTTGGCTTTTTAATTTGGCTCTTTTTTTTTTATTATTTTTTTATTTTTAATTAAAGCATATGTGTAATTATACGAAATGTAATAATCATTACCGAACATTACTTTTGTCCATTGTTTTTTCATAAATTTAGCAATAAAAATACAATCTGCTTTGCATTGGAAACTCTTTGTACTTTTAGTCCTAGCATAGATATAGATGTAGTAGATATTGCATATTTATGTTCACTTAAAAAAAATAACAGAAATTGAATATTAACAAAAAAAAAAAATCCAATGTACTTTTCTTACTAGTATAGATATAGATGTAGTAGATATTGCATATTTATGTTCACTTAAAAAAAATAACAGAAATTGAATATTAACAAAAAAAAAAAATAAATAAAAAAAAATAAAAGAACCCATAAAAAAGAGACATAGGAATTTTAAGAATTACTAAACTGAACTTGAAAAAAAAAAAAATTAGAAAAATTATACTGAACCGACGTCAGTAAATCCATATAGCATTTTATTCATTTGGGGTCTCCCAAAATTACCTAAATGGCCTAAGATTTCAATTCATTTTAACAATATGCCGGATTTGAGAGTATTTTATTGTAAATTTTAAATTAACTAAAAACTCACATACCATTTGTCTTTGCCGGGGGTCGAACCCTCACAGAAATAAAGATCTTTAATTTCAATGTTTTCTTTTGAACTCCAATTCAAAGGTGCGGCGATTGTAATGAATTTCGAATCAAACGATTCTAAATGGTTTGATGATGGAGAGCACCTTACAAGCGGTACACACCAGCATCTCTTCTTAATGGATTTTGGGGGGAAAACAATAAATTAGGGCAAAATCGATTGTCACTGTTCTTCTTCTCCAAGTAATGTCTGAAAACACACATATCGATATGAATCATCTGATCTAAAATTATACAGTATCTTCCATTGATCCTTACGATTTCTTGATTGCTATGTAATGTACTCTCTCTCTTTCTAAAAACACACCCATAATAACTATTGATTGCGGTTAGAAATTTTTTTTCTATATTAGGCTATGTAAATAATAGCGTGCGTATATATATACATTCTATATACATAGATCTGTATTTTACGTGTCTAAGATGACGATTATGATGATGATTTGGTAGAAACTTTCTTGTTGTTTATGTGCTAAACTGGATCACTGGTTTGATATTCTGATTATACAAGTTGTTGAAGAAATTGTGGCTTAGCGAGTGTGCAAGATGGAACAAATAAATTGTAGAGCTATGAATAGTACTAGTAATGGAAATTTGTTCAAGTAAAACTGGCCATGACCGACAAATAAATTGCAGAGATAT